ATGATATCTATATAAAATTGTCATATTACAATAACGCAGGCATAAAATTTGTTATATAATATGTTACATTACATATACATTATTGTTATTTTGTTGTTGCCAGTAAGTAAAGGACTATATAATTATTTCATTACAGAGTTATATTGTATAAATAAGAGAAAATTATATAATCCGAATATAAATCAGATATAAAACTGTTACATTACATGTTACTCCTATGTAGCAGTTCTATTTTGTGTTTGCTGGGTGATATCCTCGATTTGCGTCACGTTTGTGTTTATAACGTTATTTTTTACGCTCTATTCTTATTTGTTCAATTTTCTACATTTTTACAGTAACATTTCTTTAGCTTTAACATCGACACATATATCTATCTACTTGCGTTTATATAATAGTAATGTATAAATTTTAAGGGTGCAATTTTGCTGTTTCTTTCCTATTTACCTTTTGACCGCAGAAACATTTTTAATAAAATTTATAAAAATAAAAATGTTTCAAAATAAACAAAATGTTTAAGGATATTTTTATATTAAGAGAAAACATCTGGATGACGGGTCAAAAAAATTGAATTTCTTTTTTGTCATATGCAAAAGCTCTATTATTGAAAACTACGTTTCCTGATTTTTACTTCAAATTTAAAAAACTAATTTAAAAAAAATTAAAAAAACTAACAATGATATAAAATTTTCAAGAAAGCGCTTTATATTGATATACTAACTTAAAATTTGAAAGACGTTTTTCTCAAAATTATATTTTATAAAGTGATTTTTCAAGAATCGATTACATTTACTTATATATATATATATATATAAAATAAATAAATTTAAAAAAAGTAAATGTTTACTTATATATATATATAGTAATATTGTCATTATATGATCGTAGCTTTAAGTATTTCTTATTGTTTTTTTATCAAACGAACAAAATTAAACATTTTTTCACCGAAAATTTGAACCATTTGGATGTTCTGAAAAAAAAAATTGATAAAAAGTATTGATTTTTGCCCATGATTCGGGTAGGAAAATACATATGGATTAATATTGTTGGTACTTTACAGGATGTAAAAACATGTTTTTTAAGTTTGGGAACTAATGGGAACTTAATGAGATTTGATAATAAAAATGTGATTACGATATCAGCAATTTTCAAATGTCGTGTGCAGTATCTCGCACACGATTTGACCGATTTTTTTCAAATTCGAGAGCATTTTGGGGACAAGATAATATTTCTAAAAAGCTTCTCTAGAATGAAAGAAAATATGCTAAAAAATAGAATGCTCCTAAAAAATACAAAAAAAAACGAAAAAAGTTTATGGACCGAGTGAACTACATTTTCACTTCATATACAAAATTGGTAATGATTCCAAAACTAAAAGTTTATAGGTTTCCATTTTATAGACATAAACAAATATTTTGAGCGATTTTCAAAAAACGACTTTGAGGCTTGTAAGAAACAGGAGTTTGGTACTAGAATTAGTACAGTTAGTTTTTAACAGAACCGCCGGAAAAACATTTATGTCTAATATGATGTCTTTATTATGTCATTTATTTTTCTCGGTCCGACTAGAAAGCGCTATTTACTTATTAGACAGCGTAGCAGCTAAGCAGCTGTCAAATCCGAATTTAGTCGCTTCATCTTCTTAAAAACAGTATAGCTGCGTATTAGTTCAGAGTTTCGACCTGTTATTGCATATTAGCGTCCTATTTTAATTGTATTCGCACTTTAATTTTATTCATTACACTGAAAAAACAGTTTGGTTGGAATAACCAAACTTTGGTAAATCAAACCAAATAATTTGGTCAATATATGATCAACTAAATGTTTGATTGTTCCAATCGAAAAATTTGGTTCTTTCCATTAGGGTTCCTATAACCAAAAAAGGTTCTTTGGCTACAATAAAAATATATTACTCGCAAGTATATTTTTAGTAGAGAATTTAAGTCTCTACCATAAATTTATTTTCCATTGTGTTGTTAACAAAATAAATCGCGATAAGAATATAAATGTCTAAAAAAACCAAGTGTTTCTAAGACTTACAAACTAAAATCCGGCTTATTCATGTATCACATAATAATTGGCATCATTTGATTTTACTAATGAAGTAACACTACACTTATTAATCGATTTGAATTTCAAAGTTTTCCATTGTGTAGTTAACGAAACGCGATAAGCGTTTATAAGTGTCTCGAAAAAACTAAGTGTTTCTAAGACTTGTATAACAAAAAACGGTTTTTTTGTTTGAGATAAACAAATAAAATGAATAATACCAAAAACAGATAATACATCTATTACACTTAAATTTACTACAAATTGTGGCTTTAATAAAGTGCTTTCCATTTTAAGTCATGAAATAATTGTGTAAGTTTCTGGTAAATATTGTTTGAAAAAATTAAAATGAGAATGAGAATATACAAAATCTGTAGAAACACTTGGGCCGAGTAAAATTTCATGAGTTAATAAAATATTATTAAGTAATCTATTGTTACGTCCTGGCCCATGGATACGGTCGGACTGTGGTGTGACGCAACAGTAAACGCGTCGTTTTCCATATTTCTCTCTACAGTGGACACGGAAGTCCTGCTGCGAGAGAGTCGAGCGAGTTTGTTTATATTCGTTGACAGGTCAACGGCGTACGCCGATCTTACTCTGTCTAACGAACACTCGCTCGTTGGTCCGTTTTTAGGTCTGAGACGCAAATCTCATTTACCAAGGACGGGACCTGGCGATTTTAACGAGGAAGTGAGAGTGGGTTGTACGGAAAGAAGGATAACAGAGAATAATTCTTTAAATTGATTCCACACATTATAAAGTAGTTATATTTATTAAGAAATCAAAATCAATGAATTAATAACAGACATGCAGAAATTAATACAATAAAGGAGCATATAATCGTTTCGTACAATGTAATCTACACGCTAGAACGCGAGTGCGAGAGAGAAAGAGAGTGCGAGTTCTTTAGTGTAGCCAGCCTCTCAACCCATGTTTATACAACTTAAATCATCTTAGGCGTTTGTATCTGGATAAATTCGGTTTTTGTTTCATTTGTGAGGTTTCAATGAAAATAACGATAGGAATAAATTTGGATGTGTCATGATTCTAAGATTGATATTCGGAGATAAGCGAGTTTTGTTTGTTTCCGTGATTTAGAAGGGAAAAAGAAATGATTCGGACGCCGCCCAAGACGGTTATATACCGTGAGTAGCCCTTCCAAAATTTCGGCTGCCACCCGAGACGGTCATGCACCGCGAGGAGCCCTTCCAAAATTTCGGCCGCCACCCGGGACGGTTATATACCGCGAGGAGCCCTTCCAAAATTCTGGCTGCCACCCGAGACGGTTATGCACCGCGAGGAGCCCTTCCAAAATTCTGGCTGCCACCCGAGACGGT